TTTTTATTCCCTAATACTTAATATTATCTTACTCTCTGATCAACTGCCAGCCGTTACTTCCTTTACAAAGGTTTGTTTTCAATTATATGTGTGACCCAAAATCTGCCTTTATGATTTCTCCTTCTCTACCTCTCATTGGTTCATCATCTTCCTGCCACCTAAATAAGCATTTCATCTTCAAATTTTTTCCATTTCCATACTCTGTCCCCCAATGACATTATCTGAAGATATGACTTGAAAAACATTTCTTAATGGAAAACCTTACACACAACTTTCAATTGTAATCTTATAATTCTATTCTAAGCTTTTGCAATGTATTATCAATAGTCAAAATGTACTAAATGTACTAAACCAAGTTTACTCATTCATTTTTCTCATTCATTAATCTATTCAACAAATATCCATTTTTTAAAAAGAGTCAGTTGGCCAGAACTGGAATAATCAAGGGCTGAAGAGTAAAATAAAATGAAGTAGGCATATGTCCGATCACACAGAGCCTCACAGGACACTGTAAGAAGTATGAATTTTGTTCTAAAAATGACAGAAGGCCACTAGAGGTTACTTTCCAAGGTCACCCACAGCCAGCAAGTTATAGAGGTGTAATTTGAACACAGACATACCTGTCACCAGAACCCAAGTTCTTAAACACTCCTCTGAACTGCTTTTTAAAAATAAAGCAAAGGCCATTCCCATTCCATGGGGGGATTGTACCCACAATGTTGACATTAATAATGCTATCTTCTGATGTGAGAGTCAGCAAACTATGGCCTATGGGTCACAATCCAGACCACCACTGCTTTTGTAAACAGTTTTATTGGAAGCCAGCCATGCTCATTTTTTCACATACTGTCTGTGGCTGCTTTTCACACCACAATGCCGAGGTAAGTCACTATTACAGAGATAAAACCCTCAAAGCCTAAAATATTTACTATCTAGCCATCTACAGAAAGAGTTTGCCAATCCTTGTTCTATCCAACTGTCTTTTAGGTACCTCATCTGCAAATTGGGGGCATAATAACTAACTCACCTGGGAAGATAGCATATCTGGAAAAATATGATGATAGCAGGCACCTCAAAATGCGAACTGAAGTCTCATTCAGCCTCTATACTCCAGCATCTATTTGGGAAAAAATAGTCCCATCCCTACTCTATCTCACAATGTCACTTTTTACTCAAAGGTATTTTGCTCCCCTCCCCACACACACACCCCATATCCCCCAACACTACCTAGAAGAGGCAAATGTCTCCTATTACAATCAAAGCCTATTTCAGGGCCTGCCCATTTCCATGAACTGCAGTGTCATTCTCCTTCAGCCGTGTTTGGTTGTCTGAAATAATTCTGAATGTCAAATTCATCTGTTGCTCATTTGTGAAGTCCTCTTTATTCAACTTACACATTAGCTTACGAGCCATCCTCTCTTCATTTCCACTGCCTAACCCTATTTCTAGTCTCTATTACCTCTCACTAGATCATTCCAGTAGTCTCATAATTCATTTCCCATATCAATATTTATAAATGCCTGATATACAAGTTAGACGTGATAAAACATTTTTAAACAAAAATCTCCTTTTAAAACTACTCGACATTATGTCATCACTCATTGAATTAAGTCCTCAGCTCTGCATTTAAGTTCTTCTACAATATGATTCCAACCTACACCTCCAAACTAACTTCCTACTAAGTTTCTTGAGCTCTTACTATGTTTTCACGAGTACATACCATATTATATGTACTTATGCTACAATGTAATACAGTTATACTACATTGAGCACTGGAAATAAAAAGACAAAAACTCAATTCTTGTCCTGAAGAAGCTAAAAGCTAGTAGCAAAGACAGAAATAAAAGGGAAAAAAAATACCCCATACGAAGTGAAAAGTCTTTTAGAAGAGGTACAAACAGGAAAATGTAAGCACAAAAAGAATGTAAGAATTAATTAATTCTGCCAGAGGGGGTAGAGGGACTAAGGGCTGGGAATAGCTTCATTTTCCTTAAGAGGAAAGGGAGTAAAGAAACAAGGGTGAGGAAAGGGAAAGAGGGATAGGATATAGGATGTAGGATTCCTACTATTTCAATCTTTTATGTCCCGGAATGGTATTAATTTGGTTTTGTTTGTTGTTTTTGTTTTAGCATTGCATGCTACAAAGAAAAGAGTGGTGTTAATGTAAACCAGAGGCAATTTTGCCTCCTGGGTAAATTTGGCAATGTCTAAGGACTTTTGATTGTCACAATTGTAGAAAGAGGGGTGCTACGGGCATGATGTGGGTAGAGGAGAAACACTGCTCAATATCCTACTACAGAGAGTACAGTCCTCCAACAACAAAAAATTATTCATCCCAAAATGTCAATATTGTCTCCAATGAACAACCATGGTCTAAAGCCACAAAGAACAGAAGTAAACGAAAGTATAAAGTTGAGCTAATTCCAGGATGTACTGGACCACAGACAATACAGAGATAGCAAGGTAAGGGAATGAGTTCTATCTGGACAACCTTACTCACCAAATCCGACAATGCAAAACTGAACAAGAGGGCAAAAGTTATTAATGAACAGAGACAAACTTGAGACTGCAAAGCAGGGGTCTCAAGACAATCAACTATGAGGGAATGAAGAAAACATGGACAAAGAAGTTGAAGCAAAGGCTATCAGCATTTTCTGTTCCACATCATCCATCTCTACATATTTTTATTACACAGCTGCTACTAGATGTCACAGGGAAAACAGAAATAAATAAGTCAAAATCCCTGCCCTCAAAATGAGTGGATTTTCATAGGGAGGATTAGGTTAAGTATGTAAGTTATCATGATATAAAGGAAAATAAAGTATATGTCATAAAAGAAATACACAAGAGTTGAAATACACACAATCTTTGCACAGATTCAATGCAGTAATAAAGGCTAATTTTACTCAATACCTTCTTATCTTCTAGTTAGAGGGAAAAAAAATCATAGGATAGTAATCCTTGTTTGCAAAGTTTTATATGCCCAGCATAATTAACATAATAGGAAAATATTTGTTACTTCCAAATGTTTGCTAACACTATTTCAACAAGGCCAAAGCAGGACACTTTCTAAAGAGTATCCCAACAGAGACTTTACCTTCCATTGCAAGACCCATGTAGAAAATTAGATCCAACACCCGGCAGTAAGTCCTATACCATTGAGAGGCTCTTAGTTATGTTTTGGGTTTTTCTTTTAAATTTAGGGTGGGTTTATTTCTTGTGAGGTTAGAAAGCCATCCAGAGGACAGCTCTTTAAAGTATTCCCTGCAGAAGGAGCCTCAAACTCAACATGAGAAAATAGAGAAATCCCTAATGGTCCAGCCAACATACATTTTTCATAAAGTGATTATCCTCCTGCAGCCTCAGCTTCCTAAGCCTTTTTCCTCCCTTCTATAATTGTTTTCCTTGTAGGCCAGGCAACAATTACCACTGCTACAAGACTAAGGAGGTTTACAAGCAATACATTTTACAATACATAAGTGTAGTCTCTCTGATATCTGGTGCTTTTATCACTAATTGCACTATAAAATACGCTATTAAAACAGGGACAAACAAGATTGTAAAAATCACATAATGGACCATGACCACTTACAAAAGCCATTCATAACTGTTACTGTACCACTTATTTTTCTTGAATTTTCCAGTTATATAATTATTTTTCTAAATTTTTACTTCTAGGGGATTCCATCAAGAAAAATACATTTGAGAATTATATAACTTGTACATGTGATCTTAAACATATTGTTTTATAAGTTTGCCCCAAATTAAAATTATATAGCATGTCAAAATGTGCTACTGAATTCCTAGGGACAGCTATGTGATTCCTTGAAAGAAATTATAGGCATGGCAAATTCATTTAAGTTGTGATTTCTTTTTAGGCATGTGACTGAAAGCGTAAAGGAAAAAAGTGCAGAAGGATTTCACAATTCCAATTTTTGAAATATACAATACATAAGATAAAACATTTATATTCTGAGGGAAAGAAGAATGATCAAAAGGTGATATTACTGCCAATTACTGGAGGATGTGGGTCAGTGGAACTGCCTACAGTATTTCATATGTCATCAGCAATCACTGACTCACGGCTAATATCTAACTTTGTAGATGAGCCTTTCAACCCCTTTGCTATTTATTCACATGTCTACTCATTTTTAAAAAATGAAAATCAAGAATAAGAATGAAAATAAAAGTGTTTATGATACCCATTAATAACGCTAATGAATATTTAGATGGAAGTAGAATTTTAGTAGTGATTCAGATGAAATACTAGGATTGTCTCTAGGTTTCAATTACCCCTTACTAGAGACAAAGTAGTTCTAAGAATACCATACTACACAAATACCACAAACCATATAGTGGCTAGCCTCTAGAAAACAGAAGATAAGTAACAAATTAATGAATTGAGATTGTTTCTTTTTTCAAAAACAAGGATAATCTTCTATTAACTGAAGAAGTAACTTATATACCTTGATTATAAGTATCAGTTAGGAAAGTGTCACTGAGCTTGGGTCTCACAGAAAAATTCCAGTCCTTCTGCAAGTCCATCACACTTATTTTCAAATATTTTCTTAAATCCTTATAATGGCTTAACCTTACTAAAATCAGAATCTAATTTTAAAACAAATTATGTGTCACAATTATAGATGTCTTAATTGTACCTAAATTATTTTTTCCCCTGCTGGGGACATTAGCTAGTCCTTAATCTCTTTAAAAGAAAGACTATCAAAAAGTCAAAAAGACAGATTATATATCAATGTTTGCTCTAATTTCAGAAACTGAAGTCACTTAATTCAGTGGGAATAATTTTTAAATATCTGAACAGTAAGAATAATTTACTTTTTCAAAATGCCCAAATACTTAAAATACTCAAATAATGTTGTATAAACCTCAATCAGAATCAGAAGCTTATTTTTCAACATTGTCACCTCTCAAACCAAAGATATACCCAAATGCAGTTAAATAGGACCTACATACTTCATGAGCCCACATACAAAACTAACCTTGTCAGATGCCTCAGACGCCAACAGGTTAGTTGCAAGGGTTTGTAGCTTATGATGGGCCATATTTTTAAGGGCAGCAAGACTGCGCCTTGTCATGGCTTGTTTCAGGTTGACTGCCGGATGACTAAGTGAATCAACCGCAGCAGGAACAGCTTCATCACAAGCATTCAGTATCTCTACTGCCGTGATCCCCATCACGCAGCGATCCAACGCACCTGGAAGACAAATATATTCACAAATATTAGGTGACACTGTAAAATTTAAAAATTATTTTTAAGTAAAGTAAAATGGCATGAAAATTTGTTACATATTAATAGGAATATGTTTTATCAAGGCATCCCAGAAATATCTTCTTGTACTTCCTTCCTCTAATGATCGCCCATGTAGCATCATCACCTCAATCACTTCCTCTCCCATAAAGTCCCTAACACAACTTCTGAAAAAAAAGTCAAGTTGACAGCCAAGATTCCAACAACCTCCCTCCTCCAGGCTTTTCCATTCTCTTCCTACTCCCCAGATGGTTTCCTTGACTACTCCCACACCATTACACTATTACAAATATCAAATGATATGACTTGACCTTGTCCTCTAAGTTGTGTATCAATCTTAAACAAAAAAAACTTACTAAAATGTGTTCTTTTTTTACTTCTTGAATAATTCCTAAAGTTTCTCTTTCTCCACAAAACAGAAAAATATAACTTTTCCATTCTGTCTGCAAATTTCTTGACTCTTACTCTCACTGCCCAGCTAAATGTTTCCCCATGTTTGTGAAAATAGCAAATTTGTAACTACTTCAAAGCTTCCTCGGTTGGCTGTCCTTTCCATTTATCTCCATCTATGCAGCTCTTGTCTAAGAGCACAAACCTCTTCCTCCTAGATAACGGGAGCTTTATAACCTCCTTTATCACCACCTTTCAGGTCTATGTTCTAATGATGCATTTTCAATGAGTTGTTTCCTGGTCATCTTACCAATTTCTCTCTTTTCTGCTTTATTTTCTCTATAACACTAATCGCCAGCTAACATATTATATATTAAAAGTTTTTGTTGCTTTTGACCTCCCTTTCCCTACCCACAATATAAACTACACAAGAGCTAGAGAATTTTACGTGTCTTGTTCACTGTTGTACCCCTGGCACATTGAACAGTACCTGGGACATAGGAGGCACTCAGTAACGCTTTGTTCATTAAATGGAGAGAGAGTTAACAGGTTTAAAATACAGAGTTCTAACAAATCTATGAGGAAAAATTATAAGCCAAGAGAATAACGTTCAAAGGACATGAGCCAGGAAATAATAAAAATGGATAAAAATCATACAAAAAGATATCAACCTCACCAATAATCAAAGAAATAAAATTGAAGTAACTATGAAATACCATTTATCTCTTATCCTTAAGAGTACAAGAAAACTGGTAATATATTTTTAGTATAAATACAAACTAGTAATTCTTTTTTTTTGACAAATTCTATTAAATTTAAAATTTACATTACCTTTAACACAGAAATTCCCAGTCTAAAATTTATGCTAAATAATCATAACATATACAAATATATATATGTGTGTGTGTGTATAGCTATTATTATCTTAATTGTAACAGAAAAAAAAATTTAAACCTAAATATCTATCATTAGTAAACTGGTTCAACACAGTATGATGTATCCACCAAAAAAAATATTGTGAAGTTACAAAAACAATAAAATAATGAAGCTCAGCTATGCATATAAACATGGAATAAAAGCCACAACATACTGTTAAATGAAAAAAAAAAACAAAATAGTTAGAGAGCAGCATCCATAGTATAAAGGGTTAAAAGGGATATTATAGTCACTGAAAAAATTCTCCATAGATGTACACTAATGGTTAACAGGATATATTTACGTGGTTGAATTACTAGGAAATTTCATATTCTTGTACATAAAGATTTATAATACATTAATTTTTATAAATCTTTTTGTATTATGGTTTTAAATATTGTGGAAAAAGAATTTAAGTGAATGAAAATTAGATTTTGAAAATAAAATTTACGATATTCTTTCAGATATCTCAAGTTTAGCAGGAATAAATTCAGAATTTACTGTTCTAGCTCTTACTTATTTATTAAATGTGGTAGTTTAATGGAAAGGCTTAAGTGGCTCTCCCTTCTTATTCTTCCAAACAGAATCATTAACTCACAAATGAGAATATACTGCACCCAGAGAACCAAGTAATTAATTTTCTTCCTTGAGTCAAACATTTTTACATCCTCTTCCCTTTAGAACAACTGAGTCTAGAGCATTTAAGTAGAGCTGAGCAAAGGTTGGTATAAAGTATAAAGCATGATCATGAGGTGAGGGCCAACAACAGCCCAGAGCAAGATGTCAGAGCCTAAGGAGGTGAAGAGGGTAGCTCAACAAGAGTGAGATGGTGGCAATAGCTTGGCACAAGAGGTTGAAGCCCCAGAAGCATGTTTATAAAGAACAGTGTTGGGGCCGGGCGCGGTGGCTCTTGCCTGTAATCCTAGCACTCTGGGAGGCCGAGGCGGGTGGAGCGCTCGAGGTCAGGAGTTTGGAACCAGCCTGAGAGAGACCCCGTCTCTATCAAAAATAGAAAGAAATTAATCGACCAACTAAAAATATATATACAAAATGAAAAAATTAGCCGGGCATGTGGTGCATGCTGTAGTCCAAGCACTGGGAGGCTGAGCAGTAGGATTGTTAGCCCAGGAGTTTGAAGTTGCTGTGAGCTAGCCGACGCCACGGCACTCACTCTAGCCTGGGCAACAAATTGAGACTCTGTCTCAAAAAAAAAAAAAAAAGACAGTGTTGGAACCTGAGCAGAGAGGAGGGAGTTCACACAGGAAGGCAGTGCACTACAGAACCCAAGGAAGGGCCCAAGAAGTGTAGACATGAAGGCAACCTGGCACAGGATGTTGAAGTCTAAGCTGTATGAGAAGGGCATCTATATAGTGAAGGGGAAAAGTCTGGGGCCCAGGAAGCGTGAGGAAAGCATCTGTGCAGGTGGGCAGCTATGTACAGGGTGCTGGATCCCAAGAGGGGATGCCATGCTGGAGAGAGGGTATCAGAACCAGGCTGAATGAAAAGGGTGTCCATGCAAAGAGGCAGGATCATCTACTTGTCCTGGAAAGCAACACAGTGCTCAAAAGCCAAAAACAAAACAACAACAACAACAAAAAAACATGTCCACTGGAAGGGGCTCCCATTGAACAAATCCAGAATATCAAAATAAGAGTTTAGGAATATAGGCCGGGCACGGTGGCTCACGCCTGTAATCCTAGCATCTGGGCTGAGGCGGCAGATTGCTCGAGCTTAGGAGTTCAAAACCAGCTGACGCAAGCAAGACCCGTCTCTACTATAAAGAAATTAATTGGCACTAATATATAAAGAAAACTTAGCTGGCATGTGCTCATGCCTGTAGTCCAGCTACTTGGAGCTGAGGCAAAGGATTGCTTGAGCCAGGAGTTTGAGGTTGCTGTGAGCTAGGTTGATGCCATGGCACTCACTCTAGGCTGCGCAACATAGTGAGACTCTGTCTCAAAAATAAAAAAGCAAAAAAAAAGAGCTTAGGAATATAACCCATTGAATAAAATAGGGATCCAAGAATAGAAATAAATGAATAAATTAAAAGTTTGATAAAGAATATAAATTTACATGGTTTCAAAGTACTTCCCACAAAATGCTTACTAATTCCAAAAAGAAAAAAGAATAACTTTCCCGTGAACAGGCCAGAAAGCACCACCGTAATTAAGTGATCTAAGAAAACACCAGTGATGAAACAAATTAAAATTATATGCCAACTGATAAGATGCAATTAGAAATATTTCTGTGATATTCTTGCCAAAAATATATATTCTGAAAATAACCATGAGAAACTCAATAAACTGAATCGGAAATTTAAAAACAATGCAGTATTTTAAATTTTCAGTCTTTAAAGTGAAAGAAAGACTGAGGAACTACTTTAGATTGAAAGAGTCATAAAACTAAATGTCACACAATTCTAGTCTAGATATTTTTGCAATAAAAGATTTTAGTGAAACTATTGTAAAAATTTGAATGAAATCTTAAAATTAAATGATAGCAATATATCAATATTAATTTATTTCTGGGGGGGGGAAAACATTTGTACATCCAAGATAATCAACACAAGCCAAGAAGAAATAATAAAGAGATTCAAGAGAAAAAAAAATTCCATTCCCAATTGAAACCTATTTTTTTAAACATCAGAGAGAGAGAGTGGTTTCTGCCTGAATCTTTAAAGATTTTTAAAATTCAAATAAGCAGAAAGAACTTCTGCTTATATCCATGATAAAGTAACAGGCACTTAATGTACCCTTCTACCTGAAACAATTGGAAAAAAAAAACTAGATACAACATATGAAACAATAGTTTCCAACAATGAGCATTGGTCAGTTAAGGACAGTGATCCCTGAAAAATGAAAGACAAACAAGGTGAGTCCCTATTATTGCTTTAGCTCACTACTTTGAAAGAGTGTCTTCATGCCATGGCACAAGGCACAAGGAGAGGGAGCTCAGGTAGAGCCTAACAGATTCCCTAAGTTGAAGACAGAGAGCTAAGAGTCCAGCAAGACAGAGGCAGCTAGAGTTTGCAAGACAGAGTACCAGAGTAAAGAAAATCATACACAGACCCACAGAAGGTCCTCCTTACATACTTGGCAGAGTACTAATTAGTATATGATTGTAAGGAAATTCCCTAGAGCCCAGCAAAGAATCACTGGATGGCTACAGCACCCAGTGCTCAGATAAGACTCTGAATAGTACTTGATCTGACCAGCCAGACTAGAAACCTCACAATTCATGAGGCATTGGATAAAGTACTCAGACTTAACACTGTTCCAGCCTGCCTAACAAGTCTTATGCCAAGACCCAAGAGGATCTGTTTCCAAGTAATTTAAATGTGTCCATAACAAAGCCCAAAAAGATTTATGGGAATATAAAAATATCCAACACTCACATCTGATATATAATCAAAAATTACCAGGCTTGCGAAAAAAAAAAAAGAAAGAAAAGAAAAGAAAAGGGAAAGGAAGAAAGAAAGGAAGGAAGGAAAAGAATGCGGGAAAAACCCAAATCAATAACAACCAAGCCAGAACCAACAGAGATATTAAAATTAGAAGACAAAGGCATTTAAAGTTACTATACTTGTATTCAAAATGTTCAAAAAGTTTATAAAGAGACATGAAACATATTAAAAGACCAAA